ATTTTGCATTCCTACCTGCAATAAATGAGAGTTCCTATTGCTCTGTGTCTTTATCCGTATTTGCTGTTGCCAGTGTTCCAGATTTTGTCCATTCTAATAGGTGTATAGGGGCATCTCATTGTTGTTTTATTTTTTATTTATTTTTTTAAAGATTTTATTTATTTATTTATTTATTTATTAGAGAGCGAGCGAGAGACAAACAGCATGAGAGAGGAGAGGGTCAGAGGGAGAAGCAGGCTCCCCGCTGAGCCGGGAGCCCGATGTGGGACTCGATCCCAGGACCCTGGGATCATGACCTGAGCCGAAGGCAGTCGCTTAACCAACTGAGCCACCCAGGCGCCCCCTCATTGTTGTTTTAATTTGCCTTCCCCTGATGACATATCATGTGGAGTGTCTTTTCAGATGCTATTTATTAGTCATCTGTATATCTTCATTGGTGAGGTATTTGTTAAGGTCTTTTGTCCATTTTTTAGCTGAGTTATTTTTTTTCTTATTGTTGAGTTTTAAGAGTTATTTATATGTTTTGAATAGTCCTTCATCATATGTGCCCTTTGCAAATATTTTCTGATAGTTTGTGACTTGTTTTATCAGTCTCTTAACTTTGTCTTTTGCAGACCAGAAGCTTTTAATTTAATCAAGTCTAGTTTATCACTTATTTCTTTCCTGTAGTGTGTATTTGGTGTTGTATTTAAAAAGTCATCACCAAACCCAACTTAGTCTAGGTCTTCTTCAATAGTTATCTTCCCAGAGTTTTATAATGTTTCATTTTATATTTATGTCTGTGATCCATGTGAGTTTATTTTTATAGTGAATGGTATAAGGTTTGTGTTTAGATTAATTTTTTTTTGAATGTAGATGCCACTTTAGCCAGCATTACTTGTTGAAAAGATTATCTTTGTTTCACTGTATTACTTTTGTTCTTTTGTCAAAGCTCAATTGACTATATTTATGGGTGTCTATTTCTGGCCTCTCTATTCTATTCCATCTATCTATTATCTATTTTCTATTATTTTCTTAATGTCAAATTGTCATGATTATGTAGCTTTATACTAAGTCTTAAAGTTGAGTAGTGTCAGTCGCACAACTTTGTTTTTCTCCTTTATACTGTGATCTTTTGCCTCATCATATGAATTTTATAATCAGTTTCTTGATACCCAAAAAATAACTTGTGGGATTTTGACTGAGATTGCATTGAATCTATAGATCAAGTTGAGAAGAACTGACATCTTGACAATATTGATTCTTCCTATCCATGAGCATGGAACATCCCTCCATTTATGTAGTTCTTATTTGATTTTGTTCATTAGAGTTTTATAGTTTTCCTCATATTGATCTTATACATACTTTGTCAGATTTATAATTAAGTATTTTATTATAGGGTGGTGCTAATGTAAGTGGTATTGTATTTTTAATTTCAAATTCCACTTATTCACCGGTATATAGGAAAATGATTGATTCTTGTGGATTAACCTTGTATCCTTCAGTCTTGCTATAATTCCTTATTAGAGCCAGGAGGTTTGTTTGTCGGTTCTTTCAGATTTTCTACATAGATTATCAAATAATCTGCAAACAGAACAGTTTATTTCTTCCTTCCCAATCTGTATTCCCTTAATTAACTTTTCTTATCTTATTGTATTAGCTAAACTTCTAGTACTATGTTGAAAAGGAATGGTGAGAGGGGACATCCTTGCATTATACCTGATCTTAGAGGAAAAGCTTTGAGTTTCTCATGACATTAATTTTGTTTCTTTCCATCTTTTTTTAATGGTGGTAATAATTCAAAATTACTCATTTATTACCAAGTATTAAAGGATTTTTAAAATTTTGAGGATAGTTTATTTTATATATATAAATAAATTTATTTGAGCATAGCTGGTTGATAAATATTTTTACATCGGGCAATGTTACATTAGTTTTACTGTTAAAATATCCATACTACCCAAAGCGATCTATAGATTCAATACAATCCCTATCAAAACACCAACAGCATTTTTCACAAAACTAGAACAAATAATCCTAAGATTTTTAGGGAACCACAAAAGCCCTGAATAACCAAGGCAACCTTGGGAAAGAAAAACGAAGCTGGAAGTATCACAATTGCCAATTTCAAGATACACTACAAAGCTGTAGTAGTCAAAACAGTATGGGACTGGCACAAAAACAGACACATAGATCCATGGAACAGAATAGAGAGCCTAGAAATAAACCCTAGCTTATATGGTCAATTAATCTTCGACAAAGGAGGCAAGAATGTACAATGGGAAAAAGACAGTCTCTTCAATAAATGGTGCTGGGAAAACCAAACAGCTACATATAAAAGAATGAAATTGGGCCACTTTCTAACAACACGCACAAAAACAAACCCCGAATGGAGTAAAGACAGGGGTACCTGGGTGGCACAGTCCATTAAGCATCCGACTCTTGGTTTTGGCTCTGGTCCTGATCTCAAAGTCGTGAGAGAAAGCCCCGTGTCGGGCTCAAAGCAAAGCGTGTGGTCTGCTGAAGTTTCTCTCTCCCTCTCCCTCTGACCCTCCCCTCTGCACATTTGCATGCTCTCTCTCTCTCTCTCTAAAATAAATAAATAAATATTTTTAAAATTGGCTAAAGACATAAATATGAGACCAGAAAACATAAAAATCCTAGAAGATAACACTGATAGTAATTTCTCTGACATTGGCCATAGCAACATTCTCCTAGATCCATCTCCTAAGGCAAGGGAAACAAAAGCAAAAATACTGATGTGTCTACATCAAGCTTTTGCACAAAAAAGGAAACAATCAACAAAATAAAAAGGCAACCCACTGAATGAGAGAAGATATATAAGAGAAGAAATGATATATCTGATAAGGGGTTAATATCCAAAATATATAAGAAACTTGTACAAGTCAACATTAAAAAACCAATCTGATTAAAAAATGGGCAGAGAACATGAGCAGACATTTTTCTAAAGAAGACATACGATGGCCAACAGATACATGAAAACATCACTATTAGGGAAATGCAAATCAAAACCACAATGAGATATCACCTTACACCTGTCAGAATGGCTAAAATCAACAACACAGGAAACAAAAAGCGTTGGCAACACTGCTGATGTGGAGAAAAAGGAGCCCTCATGCACTGTTGGACGGAATATAAGTTGGTAGAGTCACTGTGGAAAACAGTATGGAAAGTCCTCAAAAAATTAAAAATAGAAATACCATATGATTCAATAATTCCACCCAAAGAAAATAAAAAGACTAATTCAAAAATGTGTATGCACCCCTATGTTTATCACAGCATTTTTGACAATAGCCAAGATGTGACAGCAACTTAAGTGTCCATCAATAGAATGGATAAAGATGAAGAGGTATATATGTATATACATATATACATATACACACACAATGGAATATCATTTGGCCATAGAAAAGAATGAGACTTGCTATTTACCACAACATGGATGGACCTAGAGGGTATTATGTTAGATAAAATAAACCACACTGAGAAAGACAAATAATCTTTATATCTTTTTAATAGTGCTTTCTACTATTTAAGAATTTATTTTTTCCACATTTAACCACATCGATTTCATATATCCACATTTCCCTTTATAAATTTTGGATTATGTGTTATTCTTTAAATTTTCTCCAAATAATGATTAGCCACCAACTACATTTTAAATTGCATTGATTGCATTTAGGGTTACATAACTGCATATATTCGGCAAAAGTTATTGAATTGTATATTTAAAAATTAGTGAATTTTATTGTGTAAATTAATACAGTATTAAAATGATTCTAAAACTTAATAAGGGTTTATTGCATATATGCATTTGTGTGTGTGTGTGTGTGTGCATGTATATTTAAGCTGAAGGAGACTAACCAGGATCCCTGGAGTGAGGAGGTAATGGTAGGAAGAAGGGACAGAGTTAGACATCTGAAGGGAACCAAAAGATGAAAGAACAATGATCACAATTAGTGCTGCTTCAGGGCTGTTGTTAAAAGGGAAAGCAGGGGCGCCTGGGTGGCTCAGATGGTTAAGTGTCTGCCTTCGGCTCAGGTTTTGATCCCCGGGTCCTGCGATCAAGCCCCACCTCAGGCTCCTTGCTCAGTGGGGAGCCTGCTTCTCTCTCCCTCTACCTGCTGCTCCCCCTGCTTGTGCGCGCTCTCTCTCTCTGGCAAATAAAAAAATAAATAAAATCTTAAAAAAAAAAAGGAAAATCAATATTTTTTTTTTTACAGAACATAAAGATGAAGTATTTGACCTGAAAAAACTGAGGGGAGAAAGGGGAGAAGTAACTGATTTTTTAAAATTCCCTAATTCCTTATAGGCCTTTTAATTTTTATAATCTTTGCCGCATGCTACATGGATGTTTCTAGTTAGAAACATCATGTTTGTTTCGTGGGCTATTTGTAGAAAATTCATGTATAATTTTCTAAATAAATTTTTTGGCTGAAGGAGAAAGAAATTTGAGGGTGAGTTGGGGCAATGTCACAATGGAGAAGGAGGAGGAGACCAGGGGAGGAATGGAATATGCATTGCCCTTGTGACTTGTTTGGACCCCAAAGAAAGTCCAAGTTCAAGTTCCAGAAGAGCTACAAAGTATTTGTCTGAGAAATGGTGTCAGAGTACGAGGCAGAGCCATTTTCTCTCCCCTCCTCCCATCACCAACCATGCAACTAGCACAAATTTGATTTCCAAGATCTCTGGGCAGCAAGAGAATGCATAGTGGTGGAAAAATAAAATACTGGGATGCAAGCAGGCCAGGAAGAGTCTAGAACAGGATGGTAAGCAGATTTCTGGTTTTATTGTTTCACTTGAGGAGCAGACGGCAAGGAGAGTAGCTGGGGAGTGGATTAGAGTCTGTGGTTTGGGGATATATATATAATCTCTGACACAGTTGGTGTCAGAGGTCAGCAGATGGAATTAGGGGAGAGGATTCAGCCTTCTGAATCCCAGGGCAGAGGGACCCACCAGCCCAGAGCTCAGAACCTTCACTGAGACAACTAGGCCCCTTGGGCAGGCCCAGCAGGGGGAGCAGGAACAGGAGGAGGGCTTTGGCCACTCGCTGTCCCCAAGCCTGCGCTCCTTGGCTCAGGGTCCACTTCAGCAGCAGCCTCCAGACGACTGACCGCTGCCCCCTCCACAGCAGCTGGAGCCCCCCGAGGGCTGGCTGCAGCAGCCAGGGCTCTGGTGTCTGTGACGGTGGGAACTGCGTCGCCTGTGGTGGCTCAGGCAGCAGCCGCCGCCCCCAGAGCTGCAGCAGCCGCCGCCCCCAGAGCTGGAGCCGCAGCAGGAAGAGACTGGGGGGCACTTGGGGGGGCACTTGGGGGGGCACTTGGGCGCGGGACACTTGGGAGGGGGCTGGCACTGCTGCTGGTTCTGCTGGCAGGACATCTCGGCTGGCGGGGTCAGGAGCTGAGGGAGAGTCACACAGTGAGTCAGACCCAGGACCCTGAGCCCCCCTGCCCCACCCCTTCCTGTCCTCAACATCATTTCTAGTGCCTTTATTTGATGAACTGTTTAAATGGAGTCCTTGGTAATTCAACAGAGAGACTTTCATTATTTCTAAGAGTTCCCCAAATGCCCTCACATCATCTCTGGAGTGCTTCATCTGTTATAGAATTAGAGAACTGAAGCCAAAATATGTTAAGAAAAAGTGCTCAAAATCAAACATCTAGAGGAGATATTCTACAGCAAAAATCACGGAAATAGTAAATCTAGGTGACAGTTTAGAAATGAAATTGTTTCTTTAGGGAAAACAGTCATTCCCTCTTGCAGAACTTTCTAGATATCCTTGTCCTGTAGGGACATAGAAGTCCACACCCGCAAAGGACATTGCAGATTGGCTGGAAGAATGAGCTGAGGGAGAAGATAATTTACTGTAAGCTGGGACTTGCACCGGGCCCCTGACCGGGCCCCGCTGCCCTGGCATCTTGCAGACGCTCCCCTCAAACTAACACCTCAGCATCAAGATTTGAGTTGTTCCTACTCAACTCTGAAGTCCTTTTGTCTGAGTGCTTAAAATAAGTCAGTCAGTTGTGATTTCCTCTCTGCTGGCTGAGTGTCACTGTTCCCATCTTTACTTTTCCCTGGAGGGACAGTTATGCTTTCAAAGATAAACCTCCCTGTTGACAACAGTTATGGGTTGGTATGGTGGTCAGTGTTGCAAATCCTTCCAACCAGAGACCAACAACTACAGATCAGTTTGTTTTTTCTAGTGTACTGTCACACTCACACAGTTCCTTCTACTCATGTTCCCAGCCTTCCTAGCTCCTTGCCCCTCCCTCAGTGTCCCTGCGACTTGTTCTTTGCTAATATGAACCCAACCTCATCTTCTTCTCACTGCCACCCACCACACCCACACACACACACACACACACACACTGCAAAGGCTCTGCCCCCCAGCCCCCACCTCCTGCTCTGGTTTGAGCTCCCTCTGCGGAAGGCTCTGCTCTCAGTCCCAGGGGACACTTACCGGTGCACAGGCAGCAGTGGGTCTGTCAGCACCTCAGGAGAGGAGTGTATGGAGGTGCTCTGACTCTGAAGCCCTTTTATCCCGGCTTTGGACTCTGCCCTCAGCCTGTGAGACAGGACCTGGGCACGAGGGGACTGCCTCCTGCCACCCACGAGGTCCTGTGACAGGTGGTGACTGGCAGCTCCTTCCTGCCTCCTTCCATGGGGCTCAGAGCAGCTGCTCCCAGCTTAGAATAGGGCTGCTTAGAAAAAGTACCACGGGAGAAAAACTGTAATCATCCCCCACCTTACACTCCCACTGTCCCTGCAGGATACCTGCCTGGCTCAGTTTTGGAGCTTGAGTTCCCAATGTCTGTTTTCTTACCTCCCAAATCTTAATTCAATATTTCAGTCTGGTTTAAAGCAAGTTTCATAGAATCCTCCAAATCTTTATTACCTTATATGTGAGTGTGTGTGTGTCTGTGTGTGTCTGTGTGTGTGCACGTGCACATGGGCACATATGTACGTGTGCCTTAGCAACCAACAAACAACTTGACGAGTCAGACTCAAGAGAGAGTCCTGGTTCTGACACCTATTAACTCCATGACCTTGTGAAAAATACCTCATCCTTCTTGTTCTCAGTTTTGTCCATCTACAGTAGAGATAATATAAAAATAACTTCAGGGGTGTGTATGTGAGATCAGTGAGCTAATGCAAAGAAAATTTCTGGTAGAGAGTTTATAACACGCTGTATTCCTTAAACAAATGCCAGCACATTCACTTTTTTAAAATTACAACTGTTTTCTAAGGAGAGTGTGTGTGGTTGGAAAATACAAGACCCTTCTGTTTTCTTGAGATTAGTGATATGTTTTAATAAGACAGTATTACCAGGAATAAAGTTTTATACAAGAGGGAGAGAGGGAAGACCTGGCCAGTGAAACTGAGAATTCAGATTTTCCAGGGGTCATGTAGGAAGGCTGAAGTGAAGTCCACAGAGGAGAAAGAGGAAAGGCAGCAAGGAAACCGTGAGACTGTGTAAGGGTAGGCACTGCCCAGCATAAAACAGCCAAGGGAAAGACATCCCTAGTGGAGTGGAGGCCAGAGGATGTTTAAGAACAGGAGTTATTAATACATCTTATGACTTTTTGTCTGTTTCTGTTTTATAAGATTCTCTCAACTCCTAGTCTTTTAGGACCTCAATTCAATTATATGAACACAGGCTTTTCTTGAGAGTAATATTGGTATTTTCACATTTTTAGGGGATACCGGAAAGGGCCAGAGTTAACATCTGGGCTGATAGTAAGTCAGATAACAAGAGCCCCATCTATGGCAGTGCAAGGTTATTAAACAACTAAACCATTTATCAGATGAAAGAGAATCAGAGCTAGGGAGAATATATGAAGAGAGTCTACTGCCCTCCAGGCTTGGGAAGAACTCTGGGATTTCCTAGACCCTGAATGGATGTTGATTCCATAATATCCAGGTCACTTGGTGTGGTATGAACCCTACTACTATGTGGTTGAGGTGTGTGTGTGCGTGTGTGTCTCTGTGTACTTCTAAGAGATATTACAGAGACTATAAGAGAGACGATATATGTGACTATGTATATGTGGGTGTGCACAAATACACATCTGTATATCTTACCATGTTCCTTTCAGCGTCTGGTATCCGCTGGTGTCCAGCCTTCCCTGAATTGTTCTGCCTCTTGCCTGCCATGTTTCCCTTTTGTTCTTTTCCTCCACAGGTTTCAATTCCTCGTTGGGTTCTATCCCTCTCCCTCAGGAATAATTGCCCCAGACCATTAAGAATGTCTCTTCTTGGAGTTCCCTTGGGTCCACGATGAGCTCCAATTTCTACTGACTAAGGGTTGAGGCCTTTTCAATAGTACCCTTGCTTCATCTCCAGTTTAGGCTTTGCTATCTCCCTTTAGAAAGGTTCTTAAGCTAAAACGGCTTATTTTCTCTACTTTGAATTTATCCTCCCTGTTAACTTTTCATGCTTTATTCCATGACCTATGCGTTTCTAAAATTGTGTTGTTCAAATGTAACTTTGCTGTGATATTCTGTATGAGTCTTTTCTCTCAGATACGCTTATAATAAACTCTCCTTGAATCCCCAGCTTGGGGCTTATATTTCTATATCCCTCATCAGCTCTAATACAGCACTATGCATTCAGTGGATACTGAGTTTTAAAATTTATTCATTAATACTAGCATTAACTTTACTTTGATTGTGACTTAAGCCATTATCATCAGAATTCTACTCTGAGATATTCACATTAGTGTGTCCTGCCTTATCATCCTGCAGAAGCTGGCCAGTGAATTATCTGGGTGTAGCTCATATTGTTTCAAAGAATGTATTTACTGTGAATGTAGTCAAGATGTTGATTGCTGGCTCACCATAGGGAGTTCTGATTCAGGAACCCAGCTTATCCATTCCAAGCATGATGAGACTTAGAAGCTATTCTGTCCATGTCCTGACTCCAAAAGGATCAGCACCCAAAATACCACTCAATCTGACTTGGGCTTAGGTGACAAGATAGCAGCATGATGCAGCATTGAAGACTGGCCCTAGATCTCAAGGGTTTGGGTATCATTTTAATAAAAACAATGTGTACTAGCAAAGGATGAGTTTTCTGAGACAGTATGTTTCTTATGTTGTCAGGCTCTCATAATGTCAGGAGATAGGATGGAAGAATGTGTGACCTGGTAAGCATCTGCCTTCGGCTCTGGTCAAGATCTCAGGGTCCTGGGATCGAGTCCCGCATCGGGCTTCCTGCTCAGCGGGGGAGTCTGCTTCTCCCTCTCCCTCTGTGCTCTCTCTCTCAAATAAATAAATAACAAACAAACAAAAAAAGAATTCAGACTCAGTGTCCCTGAGCCAGTAACTACAGGTCTCTATAGTAGCAATAATAAATCAATACTCCAAAATTACTAAAATATGCTCCTAATTGTTCCTTTACAAGTAGTCAGGTAAAATATTTTAAGCATGGCAAAAAAATATTGAGGGGGGAAAGATGGCGGAGGAGTAGGGGACCCTATTTCAACGGGTCCCCAGAATTGAGCTTGATATCTACCAGACCACTCTGAGCACCCACAAAACCAGCCTGAGATGTAAGAAGATCTGGATCTCTAAAAACAGAATATCACAGGAGGTTGTTTTTGAGGTATGAAGTGGGGAGCCGTGATTCCATGGGCAGATATCAGAGGATAAACGGCAGCGGGAGGGTGCCTGACCATGGGGATCCTACACCGCCGGTGAGCGACAGCCTCACACGCTGGGGACCGGGCACAGACTCGCAGATCGGTAGCGGCGGGGAAAGGACTTTAGGGCAGCCCCCAGGGCAGAAACCCGGAGCGGCGGGGTCGCGCCTGCTAACTGCAGCCCCCGGGAAGGAAACCCAGAGCGGCGGGGTCGTGCGGGCGAACTGGGAGCAGCTGGTGGTTTTAGAAGCACAAAGGGCAGAGACGTGCCCCAACCTGGAGGCAGGACTGGGGGCGCTGCGTAGGGGCGCACAACCCAGGACATTGCAGTTTATAGCAGCACGGACAGAAACGGAGACGGTGTGGCCTGGGGAGCTCACTGAAGAACAGACTGCGATCTCTCTGCTCTGAGGCAGAGGGATGGAAACGGGCTCTTCTGCTCTGACTCGTGGAAGAGACGTTGAAAGCCGCCAGGGGAAGCCGCCAGAGAACAAAAGCCCCAAAGACTGATTCTGGCTAAGCCCATCCCCCGCCACAGGGGGGCAGTGCAACTCCGCCCAAACAGGGTTGCCTGAGTAACAGTGTGGCAGGCCCCTCCCGCAGAAGACAGGTTGGGAAAACAAGAGGCCAGCCACCCTAAGGTCCCAAGAAAACAGGTGCATCTTGCTTGGGTTCTGGTCAATAATTTGGACTCTACACATTCCCTCAAACACCCATCAACAGAATGACTAGGAGGAGGAGCCCCCAAAATAGAAAAGACTCAGAGATTATGACTTATGCTGCAAATTTACAAATGGATGCAGATATAACCAAGATGTCGGAGATGGAATTCAGGCTAGCAATTGTGAAGACAATGGCTAGAATGGAGAAATCAATTAATGGCAACAGAGAGTCTCTGAGGGCAGAAATAAAAATTGAATTGGCAGAACTCAAAAATGGTATCAATGAGATCCAATCCAATCTAGATAATCTAACAGCTAGGGTAACTGAGTTAGAAGAGCAAATAAGTGACCTGGAAGACAATATAATAGATAAAAAGGGAAAAGAGGAGGCCAGGGAAAAACAACTCAGAATCCATGAAAATAGAATCAGAGAAATAAGTGACACCATGAAACGTTCCAATGTCAGAATTACTGGAATCCCTGAGGGGGTGGAGAGAGAGAGAGGACTAGAAGATGAATTTGAGCAAATTGTAGCTGAGAACGTCCCTAATCTGGGGAATGAAACAAACATTCGAGTCCTAGAGGCAGAGAGGACCCCTCACAAGATCAAGGAAAACAGGCCAACACCCCGGCATGTAATAGTAAAACCTACAAATCTTAACCAAGGAAACCATCTTAAGGGCAGTTAGGGGGAAGAGATTCCTCACGTACAGAGGGAGGAACATCAGAATAACATCAGACCTATCCACAGAGACCTGGCAAGCCAGAAAGGCCTGGAAAGACATATTCAGGGTACTAAATGAGAAGAACACGCAGCCAAGAATACTTTATCCGGCAAGACTGTCATTTAAAATGGATGGAGAGATGCACAGCTTCCAAGACCAGCAGAAACTGAAAGAATATGTGACCACTAAGCCGGCCCTGCAAGAAATATTAAGGGGGTTCTATAAAAGGAGAGAGACCCCAAGAGTGATCTACAACAGAAATTTACAGGGACAATCTATAAAAACAACGTCTTCACAGGCAACATGATGATAATTAATTCATATCTTTCAATAATCACTCTCAACGTGAATGGCCTAAATGCTCCCATAAAACGGCACAGGGTTGCAGACTGGATAAAAAGACAGGACCCATCCATATGCTGTCTACAAGAGACTCATTTTGAACCTAAAGATACATCCAGACTGAAAGTGGAGGGATGGAGATCCATCTTCCTTGCCAGCAGACCTCAAAAGA